GCGGTGCCTGGGTGGCTCAGTCGGGGCAAGCATCTGCCTTGGGCTCGGGTCATGATCCCAGGGTCCTGGGATTGAGCCCCATATCGGGCTCCTTGCTCAGCAGGGAGCCTGCTTCTCCCTCTGCCTCTGCCTGCTGCTCCCCCTGCTTGTGCTCTCTCTCTCTCTTTCTCTAATACATAAATAAATTCCTAAAAGAAAAAAAAAAGAGAAGAAAAATCAAACTGTAAGAATTAATAGAACATGTAAAGTGCTACCTGAACACCCTTCTGTGCTATAAACAGATGTGTGTTCCCTGCCCACCCAGGGATTTCGTGTTACTTGTACATTTGTGTTCCTAGCCTGACAGGATCCTATTAAGGCTTTTGATGTTATCTTTGTTTAGGAAAGACTCCTGGAGGGCAGAGGCTGGGGCTGGCTTACATCAGAGATAAGTCCCTGAAGGGCCAGGAGTCTCTACACAATTTCCAGTACATTCTGGGAATTAGAGAGCTTCCAGATGCAGTCGTGCAGCCGGACACTAAGGGGCAGCATGTACCAGAAGGAATATCTAGCTCTGCTGAAGCCAAGCACAAACCAAGTAGAAACCACCTTGTCTCTAAACCCCAAGAGCAAAGAATGTAGAGAGCACATTCTCATCTCTCGAATCAGATTATAACGTTACAATTTTAAATATCTATTCTATTAAGAGTTTTGCCTGCCAACTGAATTCTCCAAGTAAATTAATTTGTGATCAGATATGATTTAAATATACTGCTGAGACATATAAAGTCTGTAAAAGTTACCCATTTGACTTCATTTATAACTTCAGCAGCTTAATCTGAAAATATTTAATTCCAAATTCAAAGTCTTTATATTCTTTGAGATGACTGTTGTCTGTCTCTTTCTCCCTTTGATGAAACAAAATGTTTTGTGTGAAATAAAGGCGATCAAATAATTCTTTAGACAATTAAACTCGACAAGGCTAAACTCTTTGGAGATCTTATAGTTTCCCTTCTGGGTCATTTGCTCATTAATCTATCCACCAGCAAAGATTTCTGAGCATTTCCCTCATAGCATTGGATCTTGCACTAAATGCAATAGAATGCAAAGATGGACCAGATATCAGATCTGCCATCAAGGGATTCATTCAAAGTCTGGAGAGTGGGGAATATATGGGCAGACTAAAAAAACAAAAAGAAAGAAACTGATTATAGGAATGTGTGCTAAATGAAATGATAACGACAAAGAGATGCTCCAGTGAATAAGAGAGAACACAGGCAGGCACGTACCAGAGGTGGGAGGTTGGAAGTAAGGAAAGTGCTGGAAAACTTCCAAGAGGAGCTATTTGAACTGAGCTTCAAGGAGTAACCGGAACGAGCATTCCCAGAATGTGCCAAGGCAAGGAAGAATGAGAGGGCCTGGCATTCTCGTCAGTTTGTAGGCAGGGTTGGACTCGTGAGCGCCCGGGGTCGGGGCATTGATTTGTGTTTTCGAGAAACTAGTCTGACAGCAGAATGGAAATGGGAATGGAGAATAGAAAGCAGAGCCGTAAGGAAGCTACCTCTATTTTGGTGATAGAAACCAAAATTATGAAGCCCGAGGTGGGAAAGAATAGAGAGAAATGGGTGAGTTCAACTGATGTTCTAAAATAGTGAGGGAGGCGCCTGGGTGGCTCAGTCGTTAAGCGTCTGCCTTCGGCTCAGGTCATGATCCCAGGGTCCTGGGATCGAGCCCCGCATCGGGCTCCCTGCTCGGCGGGAAGCCTGCTTCTCCCTCTGCCGCTCCCCCTGCTTGTGTTCCCTCTCTCGCTGTGTCTCTCTCTGTCAAATAAATAAAATAAAATCTTTAAAAAAATAAAAATAAAAATAAAATAGTGAGGGCAGCTGAATGGTGGGTAGGGATGGATGGCTGAATGGCCAGTGCAGCAGGAGCAGGTTTGGGTGGGGAAGGAGTGGGTTTAATTGAGTTTGAGGCACTTGTGGAACATTGAGGTAGGTCCTGTAGGCAGTTGGATAGATGGTTCCGGAGCTTAGCAGAGAGACGTAGGCCAAAACATATGATTTGGGGAGTAATTGAAATTATACGAGTAGCAGGAATCATGGTGGGGTGGTGGTGGGGTACATGTTAAGCTCTGGAGAGGAAAGAGTGCATTTAGAAATGAGGAGACCCAGGAAAGTATGGTCACAAGGCCATAGGCATGTTCTTGTATAGGAAGACCCAACATAAAGTAGCTGCCAGTGTTCCCAGCATTCTATATATTTAACACGATTCTGGGAAAAACAAGGGGACGCCTGGGTGGCTCAGTCGGTTAAGCTTCTGATTCTTGATCTCAGCTCAGATCTTGAGCTCAGGGTTGTGAGTTCAAGCCCCGCACTGGGCTCCACGCTGGGCATGGAGCCTACTTAAAAAAAAAATTACAACAAGATTTTCGCCAAGGGCAAGTTTCTTCTGTCATCTTTACACAGGGCCTGGTGTAACAGAAATGCCTGATAAATATTTCTTGCCTGTATGTGGGTACATTCATCCAGTGGAATAACACACAACTTTTGTGAAGAATGGGCTAGATTTATGTGATGATATAAAAAGATTTCTAAGATATGTTAAGTGAAAAAACAAGGTGTACCACACGTGGATACTATTATGTATATATTGTTTAAGGACACATATGTAATATTATGTATCTTACATAAATTGTAATGTTTATATGTACGTTTTTTCTGTAAGGGTAATAGTAGCTGACAGGTGCATAGCATTTACTATGTTGCAGGCACATATTTTAACTCATTTAAGGCTTTCTGTTAGGTAGGTACTTTTGCTAGCCCATTTATACAGACTGGGAAACAGTGTGGTAAGTGATGAGCCTGGGATCACCCAGCTTGCTGGTGGCAGAGCTGGGAGCTGAAGCCAGGGAGGCCCAGCGTCTCCGCCTCATGATCCTGCCTTCCACCCAGGAAAGTGTTAATGGCAAGGCATTAGGGTGAGGAATGGTGGAACGAGAATTTTACTTTTATTTTATACTCTTGAGTATTGAAAATATTTTAGCACATGCGTTATTCTTTTAATAATAAAACACTAATTTAAAAATATTTTTGAGAATTGGACTTTAGGTACCTAGTGAGAACATCCCTGGGGACCTCCAGGGAGGTTTCAGTGGAATGTGGGGGTGGTAAGAGGGAGAGGAATGGGCTCACTGAGGCTCCATCCCAACAGGCTTGTTGAAAGGAAATACAAATATTACTTTTTATATAATTGAACTTCAGTCCTGAGAACACAGGCAGCATTTAAAAGCACAGTGGCCAAGGGGTGCCTGGGTGGCACAGTTAAGGGCTCCCGACTCTTGGTTTCTGCTCAGGTTGTGATCTCTGGGTTGTGGGATCGAGCCCCACCTCTGGCTCTTCACTCAGCTCAGAGTCTGCTTAAGATTCTCTCCCTCTCCCTCTGCCCCTCCCTGCTGTGGTCTCTCTCTAGGATAAATAAATAAATCTTTAAAAAATAAAAATAAAAGCAAAAACTGAAAATAAAAGCACAGTGGCCAATTTCTGGCTTTAGTTTTTCTTTCTTTTTTTTTTTTTTTTTAAGATTTTATTTATTTATTTGAGAGAGAGCCCGAGAGAGAGAGCACAAGCAATGGGGGAGCAGCAGAGGGAGAGGGAGAAGCAGGCTTCCTGCTGAGCAGGGAGCCCGATGCGGGATCATGACCTGAGCCCAAGGCAAGATGCTTAACCAACTGAGGCAGCCAGGCGCCCCTGGTTTTTCTTTTTCTTTGTGAACTTTCCTCTCGCTTGGAGCCCTACCCCGTGTGGTTGCCTGCATACACAGCAGCTCTGGGCTTTTTTTCTATTTCAATTTTTTGACTAGGTAATACATTCCTTTAACTGAAAAAGTTAAAATCAGTTGAAAATGTATAAATGAGAAGCTTACTCCCAGCCACTCTGTTCCACCCTCTATCCCCCTAGCTCCTTATAGCCACACTTCTATTTCTTGTGCATCCTTTCAGTGACTCCTTGGGCAAATGCAAGTATATATGCATATATATGTGGGATTTTTTTTCTTGTTACACAGCTGGGATCACTGTGTTCCTTTCTAACTTGCCATGGAGAGCTTTCACATTCTTTTTCTTTTCTTTTCTTTTTTTTTTTTTTTGTATAGCTGCACAACCGTTCACTGGGTTAGTTTAACTAGTCTGCTCTATTTATCCCCTTGACCTTGTTTTGGCCTTGCTAAGAAGTCTCCAGGTTTGAACCATTGTTTCTTCTTTTCTCCTCTATTTTCAGAGTTCTTCCCAGTCATCACCTTCCGAGCACCTGGCTCTAACTTCCACTCAGGTTCCCCACCGGGAGGGTATGGTAGGCTTCCTCCTTGCCTCTCATTGCCTTCTCACCTAATGCACACAATGGGTGTCAGCCCTAGCTTGGGGCCCTCAGGGCATCAGGGCACAACTGTTCCTTCTGATGATTTAAAAACACAGAGGCACTTCCAGTTGTATCTCTTGTCTGGTAATTTTGGTCTTCTTGGGAACAGGTGTGCGTAGGTGAAACCCCAGGTATGAATGAGTAGAGCTTAATTATAAACACCTATTGACAGAGCTATGCACTGGCTGAACAGGTACGAAATTGGGTATTTTCTTCGTCTTCTATTTATTTTTAATCGATGTTTTATTTGATTTTACTTTTATTTATTATTATTATATTTTTAACCTATGTTTTGATATGACTGTGTATTTGCTGTGTGATCGCTAACTTGTGAACACGCTGGACCTGCTAAATTTGGGGGGAGTGGGGATTAGGGAGGAGAAAGCTCCCCTGTCAAAGGTCTCCTCTGCAGCCTGCCCTAGATCCCAGAAGGCTTTAATTGAATGAAGAGCATTACGGTTGAACAACCATCACCTGTGGCATGGGGGACTCGGGGAGGCAATATTCTCTTTTAATGCAAGTGTTGATGCTTCCCCGTCTGCTTATTTTGAACAAGTGTTTTTTTTTTCCCTGAGTTCGGTGGCCCGTCCCTGGAGCAGTCCATTTATGATGCCCACTCAGCTGGAGCTGGCCATGAACATCATGATTAGGATCTTCCACCAGTACTCTTGCAAGGAAGGGGACAGTTTCAAGCTCGACAAGGGGGAACTGAAAATCCTCCTGCAGCGAGAGCTCACGAAATTCCTCTTGGTGAGTCGCAGCTTCTTGCCCCATGTGGTCAAGGGTGGATGGGGTACACATCCAAGGAGAGCCTCTGTGTACTGCCACCAACGCTGCGGTTGGTACTGAGATTCAAAGCCGGGGGCAAGCAAACTCTAGAGTGCACTTGATCCTTGAACAATGCAGGTTTGAGCTGCGTGGGTCCTCTCATATATGGATCTTTTACAGTGCAGGACAGTAAATGTATTTTCTCTTAGGATTTTCTTCATAACCTTTCCTTTTCTCTAGCTTACTTTATGGGAAGAATATAGTATATAATTCATAGAAGACACAAAACATGTGTTAATCTACTGTTTATGTTACCAGTAAGGCTTCCTGTCCAAAGCAGGCTATTAGCAGTTGAGTATTTGGGAAGTCAGAAAGTCACAAGTTGTAGGCAGATTTTCTTCTGGGGGGGGGTCAGCACCCCTAATCCCCATGTCGCCGGAGGGTCATCTGTACAATAGCACATACCCTTCTCCATGTTGCCTGTGGCTAGGGTTTCCAAGGGTTGTAAATGGTATTTAGGCTTGCCTCAATTATGCACCATTCTGGGGCAGCAAAGATACAGCTAATTCTACCAGGAGTTAGAGTTAATAACGAGTGGCACTAGTTATACCTAGAGCTTCGTCCATCTGTCTGTAAAATTAATATTATGTATTGGGCCAGAAATGAAGCCCGGGGTACTTTTTGCTGTGGTGACAAGTTCTCTAGTGAATAACAAATACTTAGCTTTGTCAGACCCATACAGGCTGATTCCGAGGGACAGAAAGGGTGTGTCTGGCCAGTGACCAATTGAGTAGCGCAGAGGTTCCCATCTCAAAATAGCCAGGAGTTCAGTAAGTCTGCAAATGAAGGCTTACAATGGAGTGTTTGGGGGCTCATCCTTCCTGAGGAAAACCCTTTACTCTGATGTTTATGCAGCCGCCTCGAATTGCCTTTAGCACAGCATGTTATCCTTGTATGATGTTATTTGTCCAAACCCTGTATTAAGACTCCTATATTTGTAACTATGACACTCTTTTCTTCCTCTATAGGAAACCTTAAAGTAAAAAAAAAAAAAAATTTTTTTTAAGTCATCTCTGCCCACTGTGGGGTTTGAACTCATGACTCTGAAATCAAGAGTCGCATGTTCCACCGACTGAGCCACCCAGGTGCCCCTAAAGTAAAAAATTTTTAACATAGTAATTATTCACAGTTCCTTTTTAGTGATTTTAGGAGCCCCTAGGAACTTTTTTTTTTTTCAAATTCAGTTTGGCTACTGGATTATATAACATTTAGAATAAAAGGCTCAGCAGGTCAAACTTGGCACATTGATTTATTCAAGTGAAATTTATCATTGTTTTTGATCAAGCTGATTTTGATCAATTAAAGTTTCCAACCTTTTAATGGTTGGCGCTTTTTTGAGAGCAGCAGGAATTCCTGGAGGGAATAAACTACTTTTAGAAATACTAGCCCCAAGATGTCCATCGACAGATGAATGGATAAAGAAGATGTGGTATATATACACAATGGAATATTATGCAGCCATCAAAAGGAATGAGATCTTGCCATTTGCAACGACGTGGATGGAACTGAAGGGTGTTATGCTGAGTGAAATAAGTCAATCAGAGAAAGACATGTATCACATGACCTCACTGACATGAGGAATTCTTAATCTCAGGAAACAAACTGAGGGTTGCCTGAGTGGTGGGGGGTGGGAGGGACGGGGTGGCTGGGTGATAGACATTGGGGAGGGTATGTGCTATGGTGAGCGCTGTGAATTGTGCAAGACTGTTGAATCACAGATCTGTACTTCTGAAACAAATAACGCAACATATTTTAAGAAAAAAGAAAAAGAAGAAGATAGCAGGAGAGGAAGAATGAAGGGGAGTAAGTCAGAGGGGGAGACGAACCAGGAGAGATGATGGACTCTGAAAAACAAACTGAGGTTTCTGGAGGGGAGGAGGGTGGGGGGATGGGTTAGCCTGGTGATGGGTATTAAAGAGGGCACATTCTGCGTGGAGCACTGGGTGTTATGCACAAACAATGAATCATGGAACACTACATCAAGAACTAGTGATGTAATGTATGGTGATTAACATTAACAATAAAAAAACTCTGAAAAAAAAAAGAAATATTTCTCAGCAACCACCAATCATAGGACAGGTGAATGCTTCAAGTCCCACCCATTCTGAAGCCTGACCTCTTCTATGGGCTCCTTGCTTTACTTTCCACCCCTATAATGCAGTCGTCCTTATAATATCTACCCTTTATCATGTGCCTCTTTTTTGTGTGTCAGGTGTTGTGCTAAGTAAGGCTGCAGCTAAAATATTGTATGTCCCAGGCGCCTGGGTGGCTCAGATGGTTAAGCGTCTGCCTTCGGCTCAGGTCATGATCCCAGGGTCCTGGGATCGAGTCCCGCATCGGGCTCCCTGCTCCTTGGGAGCCTGCTTCTCCCTCTGCTTCTCTCTCTTTCTCTCCTCCTCTGTCTCTCATGAATAAATAAATAAAATCTTTAAAAAAAAATATTGTATGTCCCATGCAATATTTGGGACATACTTAAAAATTTTTTCATTGTTCATCTGAAATTTACATTTAACTGAATGTCCTGTATTTTTGTTTACTAAATCTAGCAAGCTGGTGCTAAGCACTTTTAAAAGTGTTGATGTCTTCCCCAACTTTGTGGGGAGATATTCTTCCCATTTTATAAATAAGGAAATTAAAAAATGTTAAGTGATTTGCTCAGAGTGCCATTGTTGGTAAATGGTAGAGATACCTACTATCCCCTTTTGGCTTTAAAGCCTGCTTTGTTCCATGTCCAGTCCTGGCCCCCCGACCTTTGTAGTTGTGTAATGCATTTTCAGGATCAGCAGCTCATGATGCTAAGATGCTGTTTGCTCTTCTTTGTGTTTAGATCTGAGCCAGAATTACATGGCCCTGGGGCAGAAGACTAGACCGTTTTAGAATTGGTACTTGGTTTAAATCCACCTGCACATGGGCTTTTGGAAATTGTCCTTAGATGCTAAAATGGAAACAAAAACTTGAATGTAAATAAAAGGAGAATGCAATTTCAGTTGTCATGAACCTCAAAGCCTGGGAGTTAGAGATTTTCTTTTTCCTTTAAGTGCCCAAAAAAACCCCAATTGGTTGATAAGATAATGCAGGACCTGGATGCCAATAAGGACAACGAAGTGGATTTTAATGAATTTGTGGTCATGGTGGCAGCTCTGACAGTTGCTTATAATGATTACTTTGTAGAACAATTGAAGAAGAAAGGAAAATAAACGTAAGTAGTAAGCTTATCTAAGGGCAGAAATAGATCCATAGTTATTTGCTTCCTCTTCATCTATAGTCTTGAGACCTATAGTTATAGTAATGCCATTTATATATATACATATAATTAATTACTAGTATTATTAAATGATGTGTACCTTAATAAATTGATTTAAATATTCCAAATCTTATATGCCCTACTTGAAATTTTCCTATACTATTAAGGATGTTTATGCATTTTTTTTTATCTGTCAAAGAGCAAGCATCACAAGATTTAGCTACTTTCAAATGAGACTAAAGCATAGCAAACTTCTAAGAGGCAATTTATCACCCTTAAATTGTATTTGGAACTTCTTATCCTATTAACGAAATTAAGTGGCTCTCGCACCCTCCTGTGATTCTGCTTCAGATGGAAGAAGTTGTGCAGGTCTGTAAGCAGAAAGGTTGATACATAGAAGAAAATGCTGGCTTTGTCCATGAGTTAGGTTAGGAGATGGGGTACATTCAGGGCTAGGTATCCAAACCAAGAGAACTAAAGCCAGCAACTCTTGAAGGCCGGTGTATAAATACCTTCTCTTGCCCCTTGGGTCTCCTAATTCTGGGGCAAGTGTTTCACACCACTTCCCAGTGCTTCCCTTGGGGTTAAGGTTCAGTCGCCTGCCCTGCCCAGGGAGCCTGGCTTGATGTCATACCTTCTCTGTGCTCCCTCCCTTTCTTTGTCTCACTACATACCCCCACCCTGTGTGTCTGCACTCTCAAATAAACAACTTGCATGCAAATCTTTGTCTCACAGTCTGGTTTGGAGGAAACCAGACTATGACAGATCTCTTGGAGAATTTTAGAAAGAAAATGGTGTAATGAAATTTATACTTTTTCTTTTTATAAATTTATTTTTATTATTTTTTTAAGGTTTTATTTTTAAGTAATCTCTCCATCCACTGTGGGGCTCAAACTCATAGCCCCGAGATCAAGAGTCACATGCTCTAGGGACTGAGCCAGCCAGGCGCCCCTATATTTATACATTTAAACACTTAACCCTGGCTAAGCTGTGAAGAAAGGGCTATAGGGGACCAATGTGGAAGAGGGAGACTAGTTAGGAGGCTGTCCTTGTGTTCTGAGCAAGAGACGATGGTGTCTCAGCCCAGGATTCAAGCAATGGAGATCAATTTGTTAAGTGCTTTGGAGGTAGGAGCGATCGGACACGCCAGTGGACTAGTGAGGAAGTGTCAGAAAAGAGAGCAGTGCAGGATATATCTGTTCTCCCTTTCTTCCATGTATTAGAAGCCTAATTTGTGCAGGGTAGCAACGTGCCCAGCTAAAAAGTTCTATTTCCCAGCCTCCCTTGCAGCTGAGGTGGAGCTTATAACACAGTTCTAGACCCTGAGACATAAGCAGAAGTCTCCTGGGAATTTCTGGGAATGTTTTGTTATTTCCATATCAGTTCTGTGCCTTCCACCTTGTTAATTCCTTGCTTGTCTTCCCACTGGAATGTAGATGCAAGGCTGGAGGTGAGGCTGCCAGCTTGCAACCATGAGGATAGTGAAGAAAAAGAGAGAAGGAGCTGGGACATTGTTGTCACTGAGGAGGCACTGCCCAGCCCTGGTCTGCCTGTTTCTGGTTCTCTCATTATGTGAAAAAAGAATGACTGCTCTCTGGTTAAGTTGGATTCTGTTAGGTGCAGCCCAACACAGCCTCTAATGTTTAGATTTTTGGTCAAGCAAATTTATTAAGTGGGAAAGGCTGGGAGAGGAGCAGCTTTGGAGTGGGGACATTAGGGGGAATAGCTCTATTTAAAATGCCTATTGGATATCCAAGTGGACATATTACATGGGCAGTTGGATAGATGACCTCTTCTAGAGCTCAGGGTAAAGAGAGGAATTAGAGACACAGATTTGGAAGTCATTAACATCTAGATGATATTAAGCCACAGGACTAGAGAAGATCACTTAGGATGAGAATATAGACAGGGAACACGAAAGGTCCAACAGTTTGCTGTCAGGAAAATAGGAGCCAGCAAATCATACAGCAAAGGCATGGCCAGGAAGATAGTAGGAAAACCAGGAGAGTGTGGTGCCTCAGAAGCCCAGAGAAGAAAATATTTGAAGCAGGAAAGGAGGTAAAATCTATAATCCACTGAGAGAAGGAGTAAGATGAGAATGGAGAACCGACCATTACATTTGCCAAGGCGGAGATCATCAGAAACGTCAGTGACCCTGATGAGAATGATTTCTCTTCCAGAAGTATCTATCCCCCGTGCTGACAGACAGTGGATGCTCAATAAATATTTGTTAAATGAACAAAGGAAAGAACCTGCTGGTTGTTGATTTTCTAGGGCTAAGACCTGTCATTTTTTTCTTTAAGTAGAGTAGTATTTTTGTCTCTCTCAAGCCAGATCTGAGCAGACAGGACAGGGAGAATTTAGATGTCAGAGCATTCAAGAGAAGAAATGTATATTCTTGGTGTTTACTCCTGTCTCTCAAAAGGTTGGGGGGAAATGAGAAGAAAAAAGTGGACCACATATTTCAGAGGTGTTCAGACTTTTTTCTTACAAGATGGCACACTAGTTATGCAAGAGAAGGTCTGAACATTTCTGTGGGGCTTCTAAACATTTCATTTTAATTTGGGCCGAAGTTCACATATTCTAAAATGAGTCACCAGAACATGAAAAGTAAATTCAAAATTTTCCTCGTGTCCAATTCAAGGAAGGACATTCTCAACATAGAGAAATAAATGAGAAAAACAATGTTCATTTCATGCTGTTTCTAAAAATCAATCAAAAGGGAGGAAATGCAATTTATATGTGAAGTTAGATATCAAATGAGTAAGGATTAAACGATGCACCAAAAGTTCTTTCCTAGTGAAGGGGGTAGGGTGGGGGCGGGCTTTCTTTTGTGTGTGTGTGTTAAGTATGCACAATAAGTTTATAGGAGGCAAAACTGATTACTTCTTATGCCTACAGGCACTGGCCTGTGCATTTGCTACCGCTTAAATCAACTTGAAACAATATTCAAGGGTCGTCCCTGCATTAGCACATTCTAATGTTTAACATTTCTCCAATGTACTTATTGGAAGACAAGACTTACAGGAGACAGTAGCCTAGGTCTGACTGGGGCCCTGCATTTAAGATGTGGCTGCAACACAAATAGCTAGAAATAGTGGGGTCAAGGAAGGCCTTCCAGAGGCAGAAGCCTGGAGTTGAGTCTTTGACAAGGGAAAGAAACGGGAAAGTTAATTAAAGAGAATTTGGGTGAAGTCGTACAGGAATAAAGCAACGGGCGTTTTGGGGGCAATGCAATTGGACCGGCGCTCCCTAGCGTGTAGGGGTGGGGGAGAGCAGGAGAAGGGGCTGGAGAGGCCGACAGGACTCATCATCCATCAAAGGGCCTTTGGTGCTAATGTGAGAAATTTGAAATTTATCCTGAATGTTATGGGAAACCATTATACAATGTCATGCATATTTGCTTTTTACCTAAAGAAAGTTTGTTTCTAAATACTCCAAGATTTTTTTCAATCTTTAAAGCAGTGATTTTGTATCCTAACTTGACTTTACACTCACATGGCATATTATTAAAATATATATGGGGGCGCCTGGGTGGCTCAGTTGGTTAAGCGACTGCCTTCGGCTCAGGTCATGATCCCGGAGTCCCAGGATCAAGTCCCGCATCGGGCTCCCTGCTCGGTGGGGAGTCTGCTTCTCCCTCTGACCCTCCCCTCTCTCATGCTTTCTGTCATTCTCTCTCTCTCTCAAAAGTAAATAAAATTAAAAAAATAATAAAAATAAAATATATATGAATATGGGCGCCTGGGTGGCTCAGTCATTGAGCGTCTGCCTTCGGCTCGGGTCATGATCCCAGGGTCCTGGGATCGAGCCCCGCATCGGGCTCCCTGCTCAGGGGGGAAGCCTGCTTCTCCCTCTCCCACTCCCCCTGCTTGTGTTCTCTCTCTCGCGGTGTCTCTCTCTGTCAAATAAGTAAAATCTTAAAAAATAAATAAATAAATAAAAATTAAAAATATGAATAAGCTCCACCTTCCACAAAGATTCTGATTGACTTTGTCTGGGGACAGGGCCCAGGCATCAGCATTTTTCAAAGAGCATCAGTTGATTTTAAATGCACCCAGGGTTGGAAATCACTGCTTTTGTGGTGATTCACTTAATCAAAACAATCAGATCAACATCTGGCTGGGAAGCGTCTAGGACAGCAGCTGTTGAGACTTTAATGTGTGTGAATCACCTAGGGATCTGATTCAACTTCAGTAGGTCTGGGCCAGGGGTCTGAAATTCTGCATGTCTAACAAACTCCCAGGTGATGCTGATGGTGCTGATGGAAATGGTCTCAACTCTAGGGTGAAGAGGAAGGAGTGGAAGTGTCATTTTGGAAGCAGGCACCTGTAAACTTGTTCCTGCTGGGGCATATTCCCTTTGGAAGAGTATAAGACAACACTGACACTAGGCTCAGAGGGGCTGGGGAAGAGGGGAGACAGATGGGAGAAACCAGGACAGAATGAATATTCCCTAGGGCCCTGGGGGGGGGGGGGGGGGGAAAGGGTGCTCCAGGCTACCTCCGGTCAAAGGTCTTGGGCAAGTCTTTGAACTTCTTTGAGCCTCATATTTTTGTTTGTTTGTTTGTTTGTTTGGCAGGCCTCAACTATGGTGGTTCATCTGCATCAGAATCAAACAGGGGCTCTTTGAACACTGGGATTCCCCGGGTCCCACCCCAGTCCTGGTGAATCAGAGGAGGAGGTAGGGCAGCTTCTGCATTGATGATGATTATGCAGACTTCAATGGCAGACCTAGAGCTCCAGGGGTTAAAGCAAGATAGCAGGTTCCCAGGACTCAGTGAGCGCTCAGGAAGTGGTAGCGTGAAGATGAAAACAGTGGTAATGGTGACAGGGCAGACCCCTCTGGTCCAGCCTAGAGTCTGTGGGTTTTATCCAACCTGCTCTCTCAAGTAGGTGCCCACCAGAGATAGCTGCCAGTTGCCTGCCGTGGGAAAAGGCTGTTCAGTCCTTG